AATTCAATTATAAGTTACTACTTGTTTGTACTGACCAAAAGATTTTAATTTCATGCCAAATATTAGTTCAAACAGGATTATCTATGAGTTTAGTGGAGCATACAAACCACCGTTCTTATAATTTCTAAGATCTCCTGGTTTTATAAGACTACAATTTTAAAAGTCTACAGACTAAGTTAAAGAAAAAAAAATCAAGAGTCAAGAATTCCACTAAAGCAATATAAAAGACAGTAACTAATTGTCAAATTTTTCATTTGTGGCTTTTCTCAAATTAAGTAACTTTAGGAACCACACCAATTCTACCTACATTAGAAATGGGATTAAATGATCACTGGAATATTTCGTTGACAGATCTCTACATCCAAACATTCTAAATTTTGAGAAGTTTAAGTTAATCAAATTTATCTTACAACAAAATATGTATGTCATTAATGCTACATCAAAATAAAATGGCAGGGATTTTTTTTTTTTCAGTTTCCCAAAGATAAAAGAATAATAAATTTTAAGATCCATGCCCAGGGAATCCTGGATGTCTGTCTTTCAAAATGACCCAACCTCTCACTTCCAAACCAAAATTCTGAGCTCCTAAAACCATCACTCAACTCTCTTTTCTAAGGTATCTTGGATAAGGAAAAATTTTCACAGATTGGGAATTGTTAAAAAAAAAAAAAAAACACAAGTACATACCTACAGGAATTCATCCTAAAGGACACTATTTTAACTCTTTTATTTGAACTGCCAATCCCAATCCATAATATAACTCTAACCAATTCACTCATTACAGTTTCATAACTCTGTCAGGGGCCAAGAGTCCTGGCTCTTTAGAACTTGCCTTTCCAAGTTGGCCAAATGAAAGTCAGAAATAGCAGTATGGTGAGAGAGGAAAGAAACAAAGGAAATTACCTCAGACTACCATTAACTACTATGACAAGAACAAAGGTAAGGTAAGCATTAGGAAAATAGAACCAGAGATAGACCGAGAGCAGCAGCTAAAGCCTCAAGAATTTCTCTTTGGTATCCTTGGGAAGAAATTCCTATTTCAGAGAAGTCACATCTCTCTCTTCACTGTTCCTGAGGTTGGAAAAGGTAGATGTACTGTAAGTCCAATTCAACAAACATTTATTAAACACTTACTAAGTGCAAAACCCTGTGCTAAATGCTGTGGAACAGAGACAAAACAAATGATTGTAGAATATTCAACCTGTCTTCAAAGAAAAAAAGAACATGATTCCAGTTCTCTTTAAATGAACCAAGGGAGACACTCTGATGTCCTGCAGAATGACTTGATATTTATGCAGCCTTTTCAAGGCACTTTACTATCATGAATTATTTCTCAAGGAGAATGCAGAGGATTACGATCACCATTTCACTGATGAAGAAACAGACACCAACAGCAAAGAGGGGCTAAAAAGTATCTCGGAATAGGAGGCAAGCAGTTAAAATTCAACAAACCAAAAAAGAAAATGAAAGACATGTCTCTACAACAGACCATAACACATGCTTGTTAAGGCTATTAGATTTTTAAATGGCTAAAAAAAAAAAGAGGTGTTTTAATAAGAATTAGTTGAAATTCAACTAAGGAAATTACAACCTTAAAATCTTGACCATTAATAAAAATATTTATTTAGGTGTGTAATTGTCTGGGGGGGGGGAGTGGAAGAACACCCTAGAAGCCTCCAGATCTCACTTTTCATAGTGACCCTTAACCACCTGAAAAACTCTGACTTCACTGGTTTAGAGCTTCATAGTCATTACTGGAGCATGAAATAGTTTCTCATACTCATCACATAAATATATTTTAATATAAAACTGAATTGTAGTACCATTATCATTAATACACTTCTTGCAAGTAAAAAGTCAAGACTGATTTACAGAAAGAATATTCTACATATAGGATATTTTTTTTCTCAATTGTTCCCCTAAACTTGCCCCAAGATTTGTCTTTAATATCTATACTGATATATGTGTGAAATTTTTCCAGTAAACTGTTAATCAAAGTCCTTAGAATTTTTATGAATAAATTCTTAGGTATTTTACAACCTCCTTATTACCTTCTTTATACATCTGGGTCCTCATTCATAGTGCCTTGCGTTAGTATGTACTCAACAAATATGTACTAATGTTAAATGAATAATAAAAAGATCTGACAATTGTAGAACAGAATCTCCTATAAACCCCTCCTCTTGAGAAACATTCACAATACATGACATAGTAGGAAAGTGAAGAACTTGGAGTCAGAAACGTCATGGGTATGATCATGATCAAGTCATTTCACCACTCTTGGCCTCAGTTTTCTCATCTGTAAAACCAAATATTATTTATATTAACTACCTCACAAGACTCCAATGTAAAGTACTTTAAAAACCTTCAATCACTACATAAAATATCAGTTATTAATACCAAATCAGACATCCTTGTGATATGTGTATAAAAGCAAATAACTTGGAGTGGCCTCCCAAGGTGGTTCTATCCCATTTCTCTTCCAAAATAACATTTTCTAAAATCCACTCAATCTTTCAAAACATTTGGCAATTACTTTCCTAAATGGTTTCTGGACCTCATTTCTCCTCTTTTTCCTCACCCTCAAAAAAGGTGTTAAGTCTCTGGCTATTTTATAGAATACAAAGAGTTCAATATAACCAAATACAGGACACACCAAGTAGGTATGTACAAACAGACTTGGTCTCAAGAATTTCACCTTTGGGGACATTTCTAAAAGCGTTTTTTCCCACATTTTTAGACTTCACTGATGAGGAAACAGACTGCAAAAAGGGCACAATAACCATAAAAATATGAAAAGACCTTTCTCTTTTAGTAATCTTTGACTTAGAATACAACAGATGCATAATAACCTTCACATAAAGAATAAACTTATAATGTCCCAATTAAAATCCCATCTCCTACAGGAAGGCTTCCCCAACCCCTCTTAATTCTAGTGCCCTCCCTCTGTCAATTATTTCCTAATTCACCTGTATGTAGCTTGCTTTGCATATGTTTGCATGTTTCCCCATGAGATTGTAAGATTGTCAGGGTAGGGACTGGATTTTGCCTCTTTCTGGATCCCTAGTGCAGCACATTGCCTGGCACGTAGCAGGTGCTTAATAAATGTTGACTGGATTAAACTATGAAACTTTTGACATTTCCATTTTAAGACACAGATGATATTCTCTCAAAGCTGGAATGATTCGCTCTATAATCATTAAAATGGCACATCATAAAGTTTCTGAAAAGAAAAATATCCTGAGTAAGCCTGCAGATGGCATGGAGCTGGTCAAATTAATTTTTTTGGTCTCAATTTCTCCCCCTTTTATCTTGAAAATGCCTGTTTACACCTACAAATAGTTGGAAGCTTAAAATATAACATCTCGTACAAAGATAAGTTTAATAAAAGCTTTTTAATGGTGAAAATGATAATTGCATAATACTCTGAAGCTTAGTTTCTAAAAATAAAAGGCAATATAAATTACTTCCATAAACCCAAGATTAAGATGAAATCTTGCAAATATATGTACTTTTCAAAATATTAAAACTAAAACACCACAAAATATGTGGACTTCTATAGCAAGCCATAAAACCTACCTACAAAGGTACACCTGCACCAAAAAAAAAAAGGTACACCTGTCCCCCCCAAAAAACTTTCCAAAATAAGAAATGGGCAACTATTTCGAAGTTGTTTCTCCACTACATGCAAGAGCCTACATGCTACAGCCCCTCGTCATTCACTACCTTCCAAAGACACAATCTCTTAATGAGAGAATGACATAAAAATTTCCCAACAGAGTCCACACTCTACCCCGAGTGCACACTCCCCGCTCCTGCCTAAGCATCGTGGACATTGTAAAATGTGCAGCCAAGCCGATGGTCTCTCATTTGAGAGACGCTCCCAAGACCCAGCACGGCTCCCCAAATACCCAGAAAGTGCGTTCGCACCCCAACAAATAAAAATCCGGCAAAGCAAAGGTTCCGTGAAGTTCTCCACGGTCTGCGAAAGACATACATCCCCAGGGCTGCGGGACCCCAATTACAGAACATCACGCAGGGCGTTTCCGCTCCAACGCGTGCATCCCGTCCCCCTCGCTCCGGGGGTGGGCAACCGCGCTCGGCCAGCGGTCCAAGGGCAAGTGCGGGGCTCCCAGCAGCGCGCACCACCGGCTCCTGCCACTCCCACCCCCATTCCCCTTCCTGTCCCCTAGTCTGGGGAAAACCAGGGGTGGAGGGGGAAAAAGGTAAAGGGGGCGGTGTCCCCTCCGAGGAAAAAAGTTTAGGGCGGGGATGAGCGCAGGGGGGAAGGTGTCAGGTCCCTGGGATTGAAAAGCACGAAGAAACGCTGAGCACGAGAGGGGGGAGGGGAAGAAGGAAGGAGGGATATGCCACATGCCCACCCGGGAGATGCCCCTGCACGGGATGGTGCACAGGACTGCACGGAGGGAGACCACCCCCCCACCCCGAGGCCGGGGAGAGTAAGAAAAGAAAAAGAAACAATCACCTCTCCTGTGCCCAGGACACTTGGAGTGGGTTTCTTCTAGGTTCCCGAAGCGGACAGTTTGGGGAGGTGGGAGGTGGGAAGGGTGGAGGCGCGAGCTGAGCGCCCCGAGATGCAGACTGCCCGGGCAGCCACGAGCAGCGGAGAGTGGGCGCGAGCCGGGAAAGCTGGGGGGAGGGGGTGCGGAGAGGGGGAAACAACGCCGCCACCGCCGCCGCGAGCCCACCCTGCGCTCCCGCCCACCTCCCGCGGGGGGGGTGCCTCCTCCGAGCGCGGGAGAGGGGAGGAGGGAGGAGCGGAGCCGAGCTCCCCTCCCCACCCGGGGCGCGCGCCGCCCGGCGGTTGTGAAGGGGGCGTTCCCAGCGCTAGACAGCCCTGGCGAGAGGGGGGTTCACCCACCCCACCCCCAACTCACATACAAACACACACCCGATGCCGACCCGCGTTGCCAGCGGGAGCCAGGCGGAGGAGATTTCGGAGAAATAAGCCGCAGGCTGAGGCAGAGGTCACTACTCACCTCACTTGGAGGTCCCGGGCGCAGGCGGTGGAAGTAGAGCTGCTCTGTCACCTGAGTCCGTCCGGCGCCGGGATTCACGCCGGCGCCGCCGCCGCCGCCATGTTTGTGTAGCGCCGCGCGGAGCCGCGCATGCCCCGCAGCAGTCGCAGCCCCGGGGGTGGGGGGGCGGGAAGGAGGAGGGCTGGCGCGCGCTTCTCCCCACACACTTCTCTGCCCACCCCCACCCCTCCCTCCCCTCCATCCCGGCCAGCCGCCTTGGCTCTTCCCTCCCTCCCCCGCCTCTCTATCTCCGCCTGGCCATACGGGAAGCAGAGCCAGAGGGTCCCTATCCGGGACACCACCCACCCCGCCACGCGCCACGTGCCTTCCACCAGTCCACCCCACCCCACCCCACCCCACCCCCTCCAAAGTGCCAAGGCGGCCCTGGCTGGGCTACATGTGTGCAACAGAGGGGGACCCGACGTGGGGGTTAAACACGCCTGCAGAAGTCCTTCACGTCCACTGACGGGGCACGATTGTGCTAGCGGAGCGCACGTCCAAGCCCAAAGGGTGCATCTCCAGGCGGCATACGGGCATGCACCTCACGCCCCCCGGCCCCCGGCCCCGGCGGGTCACCTTTTCATCCCATCGCAACACTCCCGCAGGCAGCAGTCTCCCCGCCCACCTTCCCTTTCATCTCTTCCCACATCGCTCCCTAAATCGGAGGACCCCAGAGGACCAGGAGCTTAGGGAGCAGACGATAGATGCCCTGGCCCGACCAACCTCAGGCAGGTTGACGGCTGTGCCAGGAAAATGTTACTCGCAAGGTCTCGAAGCGCGCCAGAGCCGAGCTGCTCTTGCGAGTGCGTTTCAACATTTTCCATAAAACTTTTCACTTTTTTTTTTTCCAAGTTACGGCTTTGCTTCCCGCCACCCTGCGTAGTCTCCGGTCCTGCAAAAAGGTCTCCCCACAGTCACATCAGATTGGCTCTAATGGGGGAACTGTCGAATCAAGCGAGAAGCCTGAAAGCAATTTTTTTCCCCTCAAGTTTTGCCTTCTGGTCCTTTGATCTGTCCTCGAAATGCAAAGTTTTGAGTCACCTCTCCGGGTATCCCCTTCCAAAAAGGAAGGCGTTCACTTCTCATCGCTTCAAGCCAAGCCTGCCCTCTTTGCTAGCTTTGAGAAATTACCATAGTTCTGGTTATTTTTTTTTCAATTGAAAGTAATTTTTAGGTCTATTTTGCAGGTTGCCTCCGAGCTTTATTATAAATAGAACCAGCAGGAAGTTGCATACCAAAAATAACCTGAAATAAAATCAGAAATCTCAATGCTCAATGTTAAACTAAATTCAGGATATTTCTGACACCTGCTAAGAGGAATGGAGACTGCTGGAGGTGGAAAATGATTCCGCAGAACCCCTAAAACAAACACACTACTGTGTGCAAAGTGAATCACATTTTTCAATATAAAAGTGATAAGTGTCCCTTTTAGTTGAATATTTACCTGATAAAGACTATATTATAATGTTTTTAAAATGGAGAGTTTTCCAGTATATGTTATATTGATTCATGAATTCAAATAGAAGCAAATTATGTGTCTTTTTATACTAAGTGTGGTCATGAAAATCCAAGCCTTTTTTGGATTAAAAATATTAAGAATCTTTACCATCTGAATTTTACCAAAATTGCCATCTTGAAATCTTGGCAACCTAAACCCTTTCCATCTTACTACTTACACTTCGCATCTTTTGGACCCATCACTTAATATATTGGGGCTACTTAGATTTTGCAAAATCACAATTCAGAAATTAGGTTTAAGATAATGAAACATGCCAGAAAGTATATAAATATCCTAGAACTGGAGTTCATTTTTTCATGCAAGGTACTTACTTCATTGTAGCATTAGAAAAAAAAAATGAAATTGTATTTTTTCCTTTCCATTTAAACAGTAAAGAACCCACAAAAGCAAATTGCTATTTTTGTGCTCCATGATGGAGGGGGTGAGGAGGAAGGAAAGGAAGAGAAGAGGTGGAGGAGCCCCCGAGGAAAAGAAAACTCAAGGCAAGAACTGATTCAACTTAGAGAACACCGAACAAGATGTTAGTTGTCAGTCACTCTGTTTTGATAGTGTGTAGGTATTGGAGAAAACTATTTGATCACTTCAGTTACATTTAGTAAGGAGCATGCTACAGGAAATAAATGCCCCAAATGATCAAATTTTAAAAGAAAACTAGCAATATTATATGAATAAAGAAATCAATAAAAATGAATAATGGTTGAAGGTTCAGTCTTACCAACCTGTTCTCCATAGGCAATGGAAAATTGAATATACGTAATCAGAGGCTCAGTTGTGATCTTCCTTATTATTGAAAGCCTTTTTTTCATCTAAATATGAAAGATTTGAAATAACAGCTCTTCTCCCCCATTACATACTTGTGCTCTTTTTATTGTAGTAACATTCAGATTACTGCCTAGATGATTATACCCTTTAATTTCCAATTTTTTCATTTGCCATTTGAAAATACTGATATTCCAGAAATTTAACCTACACAATCTACACAGTCACTAAGAAATACAAGCTCAAAAATTTAGATTATACTCAATGCTTATATAATGCACTTGACTTTTTAAATTTTTGAGCCTTACAAATTAAACTAAATACACTTTATCATTTATGCCCTGTGACAGAGTTAGTTTGAAAGTAGTCATTAATATTGATCATAAGTACTAATAATATCATTTATTTAGTTATAATTACACTCCATTCTCTGAGTAGCTCAAAATATGAGTGTTTTTGCATTTATATCATACCTAGGATTGTACTATTCAGTCATTTTGACATTTTAGTCAAAGTGAAAACGATAGACTATATCTGAATAGAACAGTTTAAAAAAAACAACATTCTCTGCATGAAAAAATAATGCCCAAGTCTCTGTCCTACAGAGACTATCTGAATATACATTTCTCCTATTGCCTTTAAAAATAACACTGCATCTTTAAAAGGGTTATTTAAGACCTCTTAATATAAGTCCTGTGTAATTTTTCTTATATCTATTCTTAGAATTTCACATTAAGCAAAAATTAAAACATTACTTCTAGATGATCTAATTGAAAATTGATTTTCATCACCATTACATTCTTATGTTAAAGTTATTATTTGCAGCTATAAAGTTAAGTATTATGATGCTTGGAAAAGAAGCCCCCTTTGTTGTCACAGGAGGAAAATGGGTATGAAGTATGTAACTATTTTACCCTTCTTCCCAATTCCAATGACCTCATAGTTTCCCAAGAAATTCAGTTACTATTTATGTACCATTGCCTAAAGCCTGAAGAGAGAAGAGATAAGGGTCGTTTCTGGCAAATTAAATGTGTATCATTTTATTTTCACAATCAAGTATTCCAAGGGTTTTCTTGATAGAACTCAATTTATTAAAATAATAAACCTAAGAAAGCTCCAGAAGATCTTCAAATTGACTAAAAATACTGAAGGCCCTCAGTGATGTTCTGCCCAATAAATGCTCAATAAATTTTTTAACAAGTTAAAATAATGGCCAATATTTAAGTTCTTTATTTACATTTTATTATTTGATCCTACGAACAACCCTCTGAGTGGTAATTGTTCTCACCACATTTTACAGATAAGGAATTAGTCTCAAAGAGGTGAGATGACTTGTCTCTGTTCAGACACCTGGTAAATGTTGGACACGGGGTTTGAACCCAGAATTTTGGCCACTAGGGTAGTGCAATAGATAGAGTGCTAAATTTGGAATCTAGAAGACCTCAGTTCCAATCCTTACTCAGACAATGACTAAACTGTGTGACCCTGGGAAAGTCACAACCTCTCAACCTCAGTTTCTTCATCTATAAAATGAGTATAATAGCATCTACCTCACAGGGTTGTGAGGATTAAATTATATGACATTTGTAAAGTGCTTTGCAAACATTGAAGCACTATATAAAATGCTAGCTATTACAATTATGATGACTGCAAGTCCAGTGTTAATTGCCTGCCCTTAACATAGGCTCAGAGACAGAAGGGACCTTAGAGGCAATGAACACAATCCTCTAGTTTTATAGATGAGGAAACAGAGAAATAACTTGCACAAGATCACATAACTAGTGTCATAGGCAGGATTTAAATCCAGATCTTACTGACTCCATGTATGATCCTCTATGCTTCAGTTCTAACAGATTAGATTCCACGAAAAGTTAAAAAATTCTCATTTGTTAATACCTATACCTATTTTTTTTATTAAATCAAGACCAGACTTGAACAGATAATTCATTTTGTTATTATTTCTGTGCTTAATGATATTATTAACAGCACTAACAGTAGTTTACCTACTTCGGAATCATAATTTTCCCAATATAAATGCCAAGAAATAAGAAAAGTCAATCACTTCAGAATAGTAACAACTAAAAATCTAATATAAAGATGCCATGGAATAGCAGAAGAAAACATTAGGCTGGCAGTCAGGAGATTCAGGTTCTAGTCTTGGATCCTGGTTTTGCCACGGTCACTTGAAGACAAATCACTCTGTGCCTTTATTCCTTCATCTCACAGAAATAGCTATGTGACATAGCAGAATAAGTACTAGATTTGGAGTTAGAAGATTTGGGCAGCCAGGTAGTGAAGTGGATAAAGTGCCAGGCTTGGAGTCAGGAAGGCCTCAGAGTTCAAATTCGGCCTCAGACACTTACTAGCCCTATGACTCTGGGCAAGTCACTTAACTCTGCCTCAGTTTCCTCATCTGTAAAATGACCTAGAGAAGGTTATGGCAAATCACTACAGTATCTTTACCAAGAAAACCCCAAAAGGGGTCAAGAAGAGTCAGACATGACTAAACAACAAGACTTGGGCTTGAGTACTTGCATTTACTAGCTGTGTGACCATAAGCCTCAGTTTCCTCATTTATAAAATAAGGATACTACCCACCTCACAGAGCGGTAATGAAACTGCTTTGCAAATCTTTTAAGTGCCATATAGATCTGTAAAACCAAGATAATAACTCAGAGTTTTTTAAGAAAATGCCTTGTAAACTGCAACAAAAAAAAAAAAAAAGTGAATTATTTCTATTATTGTCCTTAAAAGGGAGGT